GCCTGATCAGCATCTGTCCCACATACTTTGCCTCCCTATCAATGTCATGGTCAAAGATGAGTACGCAGCTGCCCCAGGGCCAAACTCAGTTTACCCCATTAACACCCAATTCCCCTATGCTTTACCTCTGGCTTCCTTTGCTCTACAAAAGAGAGCAGGGCAGCTGCGATAGAGATCATGTGATTTGGGATGCCTAACATGTTTTCAGAGACTTGAATGCCAGGCCCTTTATAGAGGTTGGCCAGCCTATTGCGCAAAATGAGCTGGCAGTGAGCTTATTGAAGCCAAGTCTTCCCCCTGTGCTCCAGAGCCCGCCCATGCTAACCTCCTGGGAACATGCCTCTAGGACTCGTCTGTGTGTCCTGCAGCATCAATGACTTACTCTGTGCTGCGTTATGCCTCCCATGAACAAACGTGTTATTTCTTCCATTTTCACTCTGCCCTCCCTTGTACTGCTACAACCCATTTTTTTTTTGCTATTTTGTGGCAAAACTTCCTAAATATATTTGTGTATGTGAGTTCATTGTGTGTAGTCATGTGTGCATTCATATAAGTGGAGGTCAGAAGATAACCTTTGATGTTGTTCCTCAGGTGCCATCCAATTTGTTCTTAGAAACTGGGTCTGGCATTGGCCTGGAGCTCACCAAGTGAGCTATAATGGCTGGCCAGAAAGTCCCAGGGATCTGCCTGTCTCCACCTTCCCAGTAGTGGGATCACAGGTGTGTACCACCATAGCCAACCTTTTTTTAACATATGGAATCAAAATTAGGTCCTCATGCCTACAAAGCAAGCATGTTACTGACTGAGCTATAACTATAGCTCTAAGACTTCTTGAAAGATAATACTCCTCATCTCTAAATTCTCTTCTTCCATTTACTTTACAATTTGTTTTTTTTTTTAAATTATGTGTATGTGTATGTCTGAGTGTAAGTATGTGCATGTGATTGCAGGTGTTTATGGAGGTCAGAAGAAAGCATTGGGTCCTCTGAAACTGGAGTGACACGTGGTTGTGAGCTGCCTAATATGGGTGCTGGGAACTGAGAGAGAAGCAAGTGAGAGAGAAGCAAA